TTTCCTCCAGGTCTTCCTGTCCTCTACCATCACCCGGAGACCATTTAGATTCAGTGACTCCATCTAGCCACCTCATTCTCTATCGTCCCCTCCTTCTTTTGCCCTCAATCGTTTCCAACATTAGGCTCTTCTCCAGTGAGTCCTTCCTTCTCATTAGGTGGCCAAAGTATTTGAGTTTCATCTTCAGGATCTGGCCTTCAGGGTTGATCTCCTCTAGGACTGACTGGTTTGATCACCTTGCAGTCCAAGGGACTCGCAGGAGTCTTCTCCAGCACCATAGTTCAAAGGCCTCAATTCTTTGGCGCTCAGCCTTCCTTATGGTCCAACTTTCACAGCCATACATTGCAACTGGGAAAACCACAGCCTTGACTATACGCACTTTTGTTGGCAGGGAGATGTCTCTGCCCAGACTCCACCCCAATGCAAGGGATTACAGGGTCATTAAAAGACAAAAAAAACAAAAAGATCATGGGGATTCTATGAGGTGTGAGAACTGGTCGTAAATCACTTTCTTTTAATAGTGCTGTTGTAACTTTGAACGATTGCTAAATGAATGGCTGCACCTGCGTTCATATATTTTAATCCTTCTAAACCATTTTTCTCCCAGTAAGCTTCCTCATTCCGCTGTAAGCAGGGTTAGTGGTTTTATTTATTTTTTTCTTTAGATACATCATTCCCACGCACCCAATTTCTTATTTCACGGTGTCATTTGAGGGAGGGATCACCGGGAGTCCTGCTTTCCATGCTGATTCTTTTGCCATTATGTATATGAAAGGGTTAAGGTCAGGGGTGGGTTCTACTTACCTTTACTACTGGTTCGCAACGGGATCGGGAATGCGCCCTGGCCTTGCTCACGCATGTGCCAACCTTCTGCGCATGCAGAGAAGCTTCTGTGCATATGCAGATTGCCTATGACGACATCTGGGATGGTGGGCGGAGCCTCCCGACGGTTTTACTACCGGTTCTTGCGAACTGGTCCGAACTGGGGGCAACCCACCACTGATTAAGGTGGAAAACCTACAGCTGCTTCTTTTAGAACCATCCATGTTATTTACCCACAATATTGTTTCCAGTGCTACAGGAAAGTTTTATGTCTTTCAATCTAGATCAGTAGATGGATAAATGGATGGATGGTCTGTAGATTCTTGTCTGTTGTTCATTTCTTTCTTTCTTTCTCTGCTTCCCCCTGCCTTTCCTACTTGTGCTAGTCCACTGTTTTGATGATCGATAAAGAAACATCAAGTGGCATTTTTATGCCAGCTGAACTGAGTGGGCTGTGGCGTTTATCCTGATCTGGATATTGGGGATTGATTGGAAGTAACTTTGCTGGGTGCAAAGTTAAACTGGAAATGACTATAACCCAGTGATGGTTAACCTTTTTGGTGCCAAGTGCCCAAAGTGTGTGCACATACGAATGCACGCACATGTGCCCGAACCCTCAAAATGCAATGTGAGCATCCCCGCGCATGCGTGCGCATCCTCATGCATGCATGCGCATCCCCTGTGCATGTGTGTGCATCCCCTGCACACAGGGTGGATTTGATTTAAATCGAGTTGATTTAAATCACAATTTAAATCATGATTTAAATCACTAGTAAAAAGGCTTGATTTAAATCAACTCGATTTAAATCGTAATTTTTAAAGAGCAACTGTCATCTCTGCTACTCCTTTGACCCACTGTTGACTCACCGATAGTCCCAGTGTTGCAGAATATACAGCCTCATGCTACATAACTAAGCTCCATTTCATGCTGAATAAACTAAATTGTTTATGTATCTTAAATAGAAAACTATCTTACGATAGATTTTTACCCCCAAATAAATCAATAAATAAAAAAAATCTGATTTTTTTGATTTTTTTAAAAAAATCATTGATTTTTATCCACCCTGCCTGCACAGGCGCCCTGCTCCCCTGCACCTCATTTTGGCTTCCAGGTTGGTGCAGGAGGCTTTCCGGGCCCAAAACGGGGCGCAGGGGGACCTCGCACAGCACCCCCGAGTCCCATTTTGGTGTCCAGGTTGATGTGGGCAGCAGAAATGGAGGAGAAAGGTAGGATGCGCTGGGGGGAACCTGCAGAGATCGAGGAAGGACCAGCTCCCCCACGCATGCATGGCAGAGACCCGAAGACCAGCTGGCCGGTGGGAGGCACACACATATGCGTGGTGGAACTGGGCTGGAGCGACGGCTGGCATGCCCGCAGAGAGGGCTTTGTGCGCCACCGGTGGCACGCATGCCATAGGTTCACCATCGCAGCTATGACCAATTAAGTTAAAAATTCTGTTGAGATCTTCGTGGGTATGTCCATGCAATTTTTATGGCAATCACGTGGAAGTGGTTTGCATTTCTTCTGAGATGTTTTTTGACCTCACTTTCAATCTTTTGAATTATCGGTTGTCTCCCATCCAAGAACTAACCAGGACTGGCCCTGCTTAGCTTCCCTTAAATAGTTTTTGTTTAGCCTCCGAATGATCCAATTTGATTTCTTGTTGCTAAAGACCAGAGGGAAGCCTCCTTGCTTCCTTTTGTGGTTGTTGTTTTTCCAAATAGGGACCTTAGTCTCATCCAATAATTCTCTCTTCCTCTGCTATTGGGTGCCAGTAATGGGAAGAAGTGATTTATGTCCCAGTGCTTAAGAGGTGGCTGAACAGCTGAGTGCTGGGAAATAAATAACACCCCAGGAACTGCTGCAGATTAGCCAGCCATAATTTACTGTGAGCTGAGCTCCACTTCACTCTCATGTTAGATTTCTTCCTCCAGCAGCTGGATCTTAAAGTGTATTTGCACCTTTTTCTGAAAAAGGAATATTGCTTTGAACGATGCCAGCAGGTAGAATACTTGAACGAGGTTTAAAAAAATATTTGCATATTAAAATTGGACGTTGGAGTTGATTTATTCCATTGTTTGTTTGTTTTTTTAAAAAAACCTAGTTTGTAAAGAGATGGTCTGAGGGCCAAAGCTTCTTTTCCAGGCCTGTTTATTGACAACGAGCCCAGGAACTGGGAGAGAAGACTGAGTAAATCTATAGGGATGGAATATTCTGTTGCTGCTACTCAACTGAGAAATTTTGCTGTTGGCTTTGTTGGAAGAAATGTCCATCTGGGTTCAGTTCCAAGTAGGGAGAAAGACACTGGAAACATGATGGCAGTTTGGAAAGATGGTTTTTAATGATGGACAGGACCACATGGTTTGAGATCCTGGGCAAAAAAGGCACATGAAGTGGAGATAGGGATATATTTATACACTCCCTTGGGCCCTGCCTTACTTTCCTCTTTCTGCACAAGAAATGTATCCCATTGGCTGTCAGACTTCCAGGGGGTGGGGGTCTTAGCTGACTTTGTAGGCTGTCTGTGTCCCAGGCTTGGTTGAGCCTTGCTGGGTGATGTAATCTTCCCAGGTGCCATGTGATAAAATGAGTAGAGGGCTAATCCTATCATGTCCTGAGGGCCTATGTCTTAATCCCATCACCCCAGAGCTGAAGTGGGGGGCAGGGAGCTGCAGGAAGCTGCTTTGTCTTTAAAAACGTGTTTCTCCTTTTCTCATATAATATTCTGCCTCTTTAATATTTCCTAGAATATTTCATTCTTCTAAGAGGGGGGTGGGTACTAACTTCCTACAGCTTCCTCGTTGGAAACCCTGAGCTGGAGACTTCCTTCCATGATATGAGGATGTGCTTCTGTGTTTTGTTGTTGGGACCCCTTCTTAATAAAACTTGATGTTTTCATTCGTTGTTTTTTTTAAAGGAATACGCAGACATGCAAGAGGAGAAATTTTGAACTGAATTCTTGGATATTCAAGCATACCCTTACAAAAAAGTCCAGACAGTTCTAATGCCAGAAGTGTTTATTCTGCCATTTATTTATTTATTTAAAATGTATATCCTTTGGGGCAGGGCTGAAATCCAGCAGGTACTGACAGGTTCTGGAGAACCGGTAGCGGAAATTTTGAATAGTTCCGAGAACCGGCAAATACCACCTCTGGCTGGCTCCAGAGTGGGGTGGGAATGGAGATTTTGCAATATCCTTCCCCAGGAGTGGGGAGGGAATGAGGATTTTGCAGTATCCTTCCCCTGGAATGGGGTGGGAATGGAGATTTTGCAATATCCTTCCCCTGGAGTGGGGTGGGAAGGGAGATTTTGCAGTATCCTTCCCCTGGAGTGGGGAGGGAATGGGGATTTTACAATATCCTTCCCCCAGGAGTGGGGAGGGAATGAGGATTTTGCAGTATACTTCCCCTGGAGATGGGTGGGAATGGAGATTTTGCAGTATCCTTCTCCAGGAGTTGGTTGGGAATGGAGATTTTGCAGTATCCTTCCCCTGGAATGGGGTGGGAATGGAGATTTTGCAGTATCCTTCCCCTGCCATGCCCATCAAGCCACGCCCACCATGGCCACCAAGCCACGCCCACAGAACCAGTAGTAAATAAATTTGGATTTCACCACTGCTTTGGGGGGGTTTAATTTGCCTATCACCAATTATTTCACCCCATATGTGCCATAGATGGAAGCAGGTGAGTATTTACAAGAAACAGTTTAATAGCTCCCTGCAAGAGCTGTTAAATCTGTCCTACAACCAGAGGGTTGACTTGTATTCATAACTCTTTGGGAAAAGAGCCTTGGTAGTACAGTGGTCTAAGGCACCCTGTTATTAAGCTGGTTATTAAGACCAGCTGCCTGCAATTACTGCAGGTTCGAATCTCGCCAAGGCTCAAGGTTGACTCAGCCTTCCATCCTTTCTAAGGTAGGTAAATTGAGGATCCAGTTGTGGGGGCAATAAGCTGACTTTGTATAAACATACAAAAGGATGAAGGCTATTGCTGAGCACATTGTAAGCCGCCCTGAGTCTCCGGAGAAGGGCGGCATATAAATCAATTTTTTTTTTAAAAAAAAAATCTCCCTTATTGATCAAGTACGTGCTCTGTTTTTTCCATTGATTGTCCTTTGTGGAATAAGATTTGCTTCCCTCTTCATTTTCAGTTTCTCTATTTTTGTCTATTTGGTTTAGGTCTGATGCCGAAGCTGGTCAGAGTCCTCAGTATGGGTTTGAACCTCTGCCTCAGAAGATCTGCCTTATCTGTGGTGATGAAGCTTCTGGGTGCCATTACGGTGTCCTCACCTGCGGAAGCTGCAAAGTCTTCTTCAAAAGAGCAATGGAAGGTATTCTTACAGTGGCTTTTCTTCTTCTGGTTTTGTTAATTTAAATTTGATATTTGTTGGTAGACTGGTAGATAATATATGCCAACAGCATTTCAGCAACAGATAGTATGTGTGTCTGGATATATATGTACGGTATGTGTCTTGGTGGGTGTGTATTTCTAAAAAGGGATAAAGGAACTCAGGTTTAGCACCACAGACACAGGTGCTGATTGTAGGACACACTACAAATTGCTGGTGTGGATGAAGAGGGAGAGGGAGAATGAGAGGGAAGAAAGGGGTAGGAGGAGGAGGAGAAGAGATAGGTGGAGGTGGAGGTGGTTGGAGGTTATTTCTATAATATGACCTTGGGCATATACCCATCATGTTGCTAGAGAACCAGAGGAAAATAAACCAAAGAAGTCATTAAGGATGAATGTGGAAACAGATTTCCAACGATGAAAAAATAGAAGAAATAGATGTCAGAACTACCGTATTTTTTGAAGTATAAGACGCACTGGACTATAAGACCACCTACCTTTTCTGGTGAGGAAAACAAGAAAAAGAAGTCTGCTTCTGCCTCCCAGCAATTTTGCCTCATTGCAGCAAACAGCAAACAGCCTGCTTTACTTTCATTTTTGTTTTCAGCATAGCTTGATTAGCACAAGGGGAAAAAAAATCTGTTCCTTGCAGCAAGTAGCAGAGGCCTGCGCAAAACAGCTGAGAGCAAAACAGCTGAGAGTTTGATTTTTGATTTTGATTTTATTGAACTTCTATATCGCCGTTCTCCCAAAGGACTCAGGGCGGTGTACAGCCATATTAAAACACATATAAACTCACAAAAGTTAAAAACAATTTAAAACGAATATATAAAAATTTGGCCCATAAAATTAAAAGCTAACAAACACCCAATTTAAAATTCATATTAAGCCAGCCCTGTTGGAACAAAAGAGTCTTAAGGGCACGGTAAAAAGTACGCAGGTCGGGGATCATACGAACCTCTAGGGGCAACTCATTCCAGAGGGCTGGTGCCCCCACAGAGAAGGCTCTCCCCCTGGGTGTCACCAGTCGACATTGGCTGACGGCACCCTGAGGAGCCCCTCTCTGTGGGAGCGTATTGGCCGGTGGGAGGCTATCGGTGGCAGAAGGTGATCTCGTATATACCCAGGTCTATACCGATCCAATTGTAAGGCCGATCTAATCAACTTGTGCTAATTAGGCTGTGCTGAAAGGAACTGTTTTTTCTTGCTGCTTGCTGCAAGGAGGTAACTTCTAGGAGGCAGAGGCCAAAGGGTGGGAGCCAGTGGGTGGGCGGGGCTACATTTGGTGTATAAGACGCACCTAAATTTTCACCCCCTTTTAGGGGGGAAAAAGGTGCATCTTATACTCCGAAAAATACGGTAATCATGGAAATGACCAAGAAGAGAAGTTAAAGCCAAGAAGGCTAAAAGGCCAAAAGGAAATACTTAATAGAGGAATTTCGGAGAGTTGTTCGAAGATACAAGTAGAAGTATTATAACAACATTTGTGAAGACTTTGAAGATGAAAACAGATATGGAACAAAAGGAAGGGTTCAAAAAGTTATCTGAAATTAGAAGAAGATTCCAACTTCAACCTAAAGGATGTCAATGGACAAACAGCTGATTCAAAAAAATATCAAAGATGGGAGAAATATACTGAAATACTATACAAGATATTTTAGAAGATCTTCCCTACTTACAAGAACCTCTAGTATTAAAAAAACGAAGTTAAATCAGCCCTCCAATCTTACTGAGTCAGCTGCAGGAGCTGATGGAATGTTCCCTGAAATATGACAAGCAATAGAAGAAGAATGAGTAAAGATTCTAATTTAGCTATTCCTGTAAATTTGGAGAACAACATAATGGCCAAAAGATTGGAGGTCAATCAATATTCTACTTTCCAAAAAGGAGAATTAACAGCATGTGTCAACTATCATATGGTATTCTTTATTTCATGCACTAGCAAACTATATTTTGGACATGTGATGCGATACCCAGAAAAATACGGCATCCTTCACTTACCGTATTTTTTGGCGTATAAGACGCTCCGGATTATAAAACGCACCTATCTTTTTTGGGGAGGAAAACAAGATATACGCTAGTGCATGGATATGGGAAATAATATGAAATTTTACCAGTTCGGAACTGTTTTAAGTTTTTTTCTTTGCATAGATTGGTATTGTAATCAGGATCAGTAAGTTATTCAGCACGTAATCTGTTAGATGTAAAGCTTCCGCCACCCCTCTTTATTTTCCTTCAGGTAATGTTTTAAGTTAGTGAAATGCTTTTTAAATTCCAGCTGATTGTTGATTCTAGACAGAAATTTTACAACAAAAGGACACAAAGAAGAAAATAAGACTCATAAAACACTCACAATAACTCTGCCTCTGCCTCCCAGCACAGCAAACAGTCTGCTTTACTTTCGTTTTCAGCACAGCTTGATTAGCACAAGGAAAAAGCAATTTGCCTGCTTGCAGGAGGCCCGCGGGGCAATAGGCAATGGCAATCTGCAGCTTGAAACAGCTGAGGGTCGGGAGGCTGATCCAACAGACAATCAACTGCTTGTGCTTATCAAGCTGTGCTGAAGCTGAAACGGGCTGTTTGCAGTTTGCTGCTTGCTGCAAGGAGGTAAATTGCTGGGAGGCAGAGGCCAAAGGTTGGGGGCCTGTGGGTGGGCGGGGCTACATTTGGTGTATAAGACGCATCCAAATTTTCACCCTCTTTTAGGGGGGGGGAAGTGCGGCTTATACTCTGAAAGATACGGTAATCCTCCAGGGAAAGATTGAAGGCAAATGAGGTCCAGGCAGAAGAAGAACATCATGGCTTCAAAACCTAAGGGACTGGTTTGGACAAAACTCAGCAGCACTTTTTCATGCGGCTGTTGACAAAAATAGGATTGCCAACATGATCGCTAACATCCGATGACAGATATGGCACAACAAGAAGAAGAAGATGCACTAGGAAACTAAGATTAAGGATCTTAGTTTCCAACACAAATTCGAACCTGGACAACAGAGATTTAAGCTTGGTTTAGAAAATGCCAAGGAATATGCGACATAATTCTCAACTGCATAATCGAAAAAGCCAAAGAATAATAGAAATAAGTCAATATGGGCTTCATTGATTATAGAAATGCCTTTGATTGTGTTATAATTATGTCAAACTGTGGAATGTACTTAGAATCACATTCTGCTTGGGAATGTGCTTGGAAGATTGTGCTCAAGGCTATTTGAACTCCTTTTAAAAAGTTTATTCCTTCCCCAGCGACATGTTTAACATTTACAAGAAGTGTGAGCCCCTCAAACAAAGATTTGGATTATTTATTATTTTGCATAATTTTGGTTATGGGACATGGGACAGAAGCAAGCATTCCTCCTCCGTGGCTCACTCCGGATTCTTAGAACTTGTACCTAAACAGATCTGTGTGGCCAGGGTTACATTTTACATTCTAGTCATGTCGGTGGGAATCAACGCAACTTACTCTATGAGTGTTGTGAAAAAACCTCCTTGCTTCAGAAGGATTGTGATGAAGCTTCCGAAAAATATATGTGTTGCTGTCTGATGCTAAAGGAAAGCAATAAGAATGAAAGGTAGAAAGTATAAAGCCAGGGACTTGCTTGTGTGGGAAAATGCTTTGTGGAACATTATGAGTCTTTCTGAATAAATATGTTTTTTGTGCTTTTATATATAGCACACAAAAATACTTTCAGTTTTTAGCCCATAAATGTACATGCTTTAGTACTTTTTTAAGATGCCACAAATTTTTCTGTTATACTAATGGAAGTAACCATACTATAATATTAGTAGGTATAGGTAGTCCTCGACTGGTGGAAGAAATATCCTTCTGGGTTCAGTTCCAAGTGGGGAAAAAGACACTGGAAACATGGAGACTGCTTGGAAAGATGGTTTAATGGTGGACAGGATCACATGGTTTGAGTTCCTGAGCAGAAAAAGGGATGAGATGCTGAGCGTGCCTTGGTTTTATGCCCTCTCTGAGCTTTGAACTTCCTGGGGCACAGGAAGAGTATCCTGATTGGTTGTCAGACTTCCAGGAGGTGGGGGTCTTAGCTAGCCTTGCTGGCTGGTGTAATCTTCTCAGATGCCATGTGGTGAGTTTCTGTTGCTAGATGGGTCCTATTGTGTTGCAGATGATGGTCCATTGACAAAGGTGGGGGGGATTGGGTTTCTGCCTTTGGCCCATTGACAAAAGTGGGGGGGGCAGGAAGGTGGGAGCTGCTATGTCTTTAAAACATGTTTCTCCATTTCTCATCCAGGGAAATATATTCTGCCTTTTTAATATTTCCTAAAATATTTCATTCTTCTAGGAGAGGGGTGGGTGCTAACTTCCTACGCGACTTGCAACAGTTCATTTAGTGACTGTTCGAAGTTACAGAGGCACTGAAAGTAGTGACATAGGGCCATTTTTCACACTTACGACCGTTGTAGCATCCCCAAGGTCATGTCCTCAAAATTAAGCCGCTTGGCAACTGGCTCATACTTATGACGGTTGCAGAGTCCTGGGGTCACGTGATCACCTTTTTTTGCAACCCTCAGATAAAGTCAATGGGCTTAACAACCATGATTTGCTTAACAACCTGTGTTACTAACTTCACAACCGCAGTGTTTACTTAACAACGGTGGGAAGAAAGGTGTTAAAATGGGGCAAAACTCACTTAACAAATGTCTCACCTAGCAACAGAAATTTCAGGCTCAGCTGTGGTCATAAGTCAAGGCTGTACTTGTCTTACTAATACGTTTGAAATGAGCATCCAACTTCATTTTCCTCTCCCGCATCAACAATATGACCAAAAGATAAGAATTGGGAGGCTTTGCTCTTGGGCCAGTCATTCTCTCCTAGCCCAACTAACCTCAGTGTCTCTGTTCTATCTAGAGTAAATAGGAAGAGGAAGGTGTAGTAGGTACGTTTGCCGCCTTGAGTTACTTGTTAAAAACAATAAAGGTGGGTTCCAAAGATGCTTTTTGAAGAAGCAATTGGACTTTCTG